ATCTACAGTAGCTGTTCAAAAATCATTTCTTACCTACTAAGTTGCCATTTTATCTATTCTCTTTTAAAGCATGTTTAAATAAACTGCTCTATGTATTTCTTGTGTGTATCTTCAGATGTTATGATCGATTGAGAATAAACAGCGGTGACATGCTATGCAGACGGTTAAGCGTTTGGAGTGTTTACTTCAACTTTAACACACTTTCTTGCCAAAACTATTTTTTCCAGAGGGTATGGTGGTGTGTGTGTGTGTGTGGGGGAACATAATACTTGTGGAAATTCCGGACGGGTGGAGGGGGGGTTATTTTTGTGTTCAAAAAATGGAAATTCTGGGGAGGAGGGGGGCTTACGCCAAATTCCCTCTGTGGTGGTGTTATGGATATTTTCTGGAATCACACATTATCAATATTGCATGGTGAAGGGAAATCTTATTGCTTTACTGTAAGTTGTGTTCCTGAAAGTACAGTGTATATTTAATCATCTTTAGTAGTTTCACAGTGATTTCCTTTCTTTCTCTCATGTAAACAAAAACAAAGGTGTGGCTGACTAGGGCCCTTTAACAAGTAAAAATTATAAACAGTATAATTGAAGGGGTGTGCAGAAAAAGACCCTAAGTGACATCTGATAGACTGCAAAATTCTCCTAGCAAATTGCCTTCCACTTCTTTAAATGAAAAAAGGAGAATTTGACATGAGATCAAGAGTTGCTTAGGGCTTTTTTCCGTGCACCCCTACAATTGTGACTTGGCTTACACAATATTATGCATTGTCCCATTCTTGGCATCAGTTAAATGCTTTTCCATGAGGTTCTCATTAGTTCACCAAATAAGCTGCTTTTCTTGTGGTTGGCAAGATTAGCAACCCCCTCTTGATTGGCAGATCAGTTATTTAATCTCAACATCTCGACCAATATTAAAATCTTCTTATTGGTCTCATTGGACCTGAAAGAATTTGATTGTTATAAAACAAAGGCTAACAGTTTTTTGGAAGCTACCTACCTCTGTAAATTTATCTGCAACCATGTAACGCACTCTCCATGACTTGTCCTGAAAGAGGAATACTCAATGTTATATTGAATGTTTTGTTATACAAGACTTTCTGAATCAAGATCATTTTATTGGTTTTTATTGTTTAGCTTTGAATTCAGCAGGAGGTCTGCCCCTTGAGGAAATCAATACAAGACAAGGCAATAAATGGTGGGGGTGTGACCCAGAGGCTCAGGCACTGGATTTGTAATCTGGAGGTCATAAGTTCAAATCCTACTCCTAGCCACCACATGAATTTGTGTTCAGCAGTCCCGAATTCAACTCCTCCACATCTTGTCACATCTGCCTCCAAACCAGTTGGGATTTTTAACAAGTTTTCACTTCTATTTACAATATTTGTTTCTTCATATATAGTGTCCCCAATCAGCACAGCAGTACTATTAAAAATACATGTACTAAGACACTAATAAATAAAGTAAATTTTTAAAAAAAATAATTTTCACTTTGTTCTGAGTGGTTTACTTACAAGTAAACCACTTTCCTTTGAAGTTGACAATTGAGTCTGTTGGTTACATGTCAGCCGAATGTTAGTGATATGGTGAAACATATACATGCAAGGTACCAATCAGCTGCTGGCAAACTAAAGGGGAAACTATTGCATGTAATTACAGTTGTATTTCACAATTTGAGCTAACACTCCAAATTTTATTGGAAGCTTTGCAAACAAGATGACCAAAGCCTTTTGATTAAATTAAAAGGCCTTGGCCATGCTACATGTATTTTCAATGAATTTTGCAGTATTGTTGTGCGCAACACCATTTCAGTCTCTTTAACTTTCTTGTTCAGCTTAACATTAATTTTCTTTGTTTTCAATGGGATAAACTAAAGTTCTTGCTACCTGTGCCGCAGCTCTGACTGTGGGCATAAGAAGAGATTCTTTATCCTCATCAGGCAGAACTGATGCAATACTTGAACAGCCCTCGACAGCAAGTAGTCTCACAGAGTCCTGCTCATCATTAGCTAAGTTATTGAACAGTGACACTAGGTCTGCTTTGACAAACTCAAGCTCCACACATTTTGCAAATTCCTGAAATGATGGCACATACAAATAAGGTGGATGATAAAGATAAAGATAATATCATGACTCATATTCATGTTGCCTGGTAGTAACTAACGAAAAGCATAAACTTTACACTCAACATTGAGACGTGACTGTACAGGACCCAAAAGCTCTGATCCACCGCATTTCTGAGTCTGAATTCTTGTGTTCACACTTACATGTATGTATAAAATGTATTTTTTCAAATTGTGTATACCAGGCTTAAGCAGGGTAACAAGAGAAATTGACTAATCTGTTAAAGAATTTGTGGATCCTACTGGATAATGATAAGCTACTGACGGTTATTTTCAGGATTTTAATAACATATGCTGACAGTACAACCACGTAATATTACAAACATACTTACTCCTAGTTTTCCAGAAGCTGCTCTTCTTACCATGGGCGTGTCATCTGCGCACAAGTTTTTAAAATGGCTGGGGAAGA